AAAAAATTTAAAAAATTCCTCTAGGATCCCCATTAAAAAAAAAAAGCCGGTTTTTTTTTTTTTTTTTTTTTTTTTTCAATAATATTACATTTATTGTAATTCTGAATTTACCATCTGTGGCACATTATCCTTCATTACATTAAGTTGAAAAGCTAAAATCATCAAAACGAAATCAAATCCAAATCCCCTTAAGCAATAAAAGCATTATGTAGCATTTGTTTTTATTACCAGTGCCATTCTCAATATCAGAAAAATGACACATGTTCTTCCATAAATATACAATCTGCTTCTGCTGCGGAGCTCAACAAGACCAATCTGGCAACAACACAAACAGTATGGTCCCTCCCTCTGGCAATGAGGCTTAATGAAAATTCCATCATTTATATCCAATCATCTGTGGTGCAGGAGTTACTGAATGTCCTACCTTTTGGATAGTGTACTAATTTCTGAGAAATTTCTGTGCAGATTTAGTGGACACAAGCATTTGTGGACATCTTACAGTCTGTGCTCAGACGAGGCACACAGCCTGTGAGCTGTATCTGGTTTCTCTGAGTACTGGGAGTGTGAAAGAAAAGTGTGAGAACGGAGGATGTTGGATTTTGTGAATCACTGGTTCTCATCATCCACCTTTCTCATTGGTTTCTGCTCTAAATGGACGACATTGACTAACAATTAATCAAGGGCATAAGTGGAAACATCGATCCACAAAACAACCATAAGCTGGGAGTTTCTCAAAAATATCAATACTTTTGTCGATATTCCTCTGAAGTCTCTATCTGGCAGCATGCCGACAGAATAATGTCTGTGCCTCTTTTTCTCTGTTGATTTGTGACAACTTTCTCTATTCCGTCACTCCTCTCTTGCACATGGTAATAAATTTAAAATGGTACTGACGTAATGTGTAGTGTTTATTAATTATTAAGCTCAAATTAGTTGTGTCTGTTTGCATCTAAAGTGAGACCTTCTTACTTCTTATTTGATTGCAAAACTTGCCGTTAGCTGAGGGTAAATGGAAAATCATGATGTGCATTTGTTTAAAGGTGTCCCAAAATCTACAGGATTGTAAGTACGATTCATACACTGTACAAAAATGAAGAATCGTGACTCCATATGTGCTCTCGTTTCCTCACTGCTGCAGTGCAAACAACTGCTTCTATAATCTTGTTACATAGCAATACACAAAAGGGTACAACTACCAACCATATGGTTAATTTAATTTGGAATTGTGGGTATTGGTAAAGTTAGTTAGTTAATAAAATACTTCAACAAAATGATCAGAACTGGTTGTAATAATTATAACAGTATCGTTTACACACCATGCTTTCCATGACATTTTATCTGTAAATTGAAACTATAATGAAAGGGGTATTTTTTTTCTGACATCAGGAGAAGATGCTGCTTAACTAAAATGTTATTTTACTGAAAATCACTTCCTTTTTCCTCGACATTATTAAAGGAAGTGTTATTCTCTTAGTCAGGTAGACATTGAGCTGCAGCTCCACTTGAGCTCAGCGAGTGAAATGGGCCTTTCTCGGAGGTGTGTGTGCTCAAATCTTTTAATATTGACTCAAGCATGAAAATCAAAGTTTACATTGCTCTGTAGTTTTGAAGCAAAACTACCAAACCCAGTTTGCGTCATTCCTCAAACATGATTTCTTCCCATTTGTCTTCTTCCAGGAAATCTGTGGAGGCTCAGCAAGCAATTCACTCTAAGGTAACTGGAGACTTCTCTTAGTTATGTGAAGGTTTAGGATATTTAGAGCAGAAAAAAAAGCTTCCTGTCATGGTTGATTGCATGACCAGTTAAAAAAGATGCATCTCTGGTCAACTATTGTCTTTTTTTAGTTATCAGTTTTGCAAAAGTCATTATCCTTTCTGGAGCCCAAAAGAGAGAATGACCCATAAGGCAGACACTCACACTTAGGGATAATATTTGTGCTTTCATGTTTAACTAAGACACAAGTATGAAGACTTTAGAGTATAACCAGAGTACATGAAGAAAGTCCACCCATGCACAGTGGGAATGTATAAACTGCACAAAGTTTGTGTTGCCAGCTTTCAAACCTTCTTACTGTGAGTCACTGATATTAAAGTTGAAGCCTGGAGCCCTTAAATCTCTTCACATTTTTAAATTCAAGGATTTAAGGGATCAAAAGGCCATGGCATGAACAAAAAAAGAAAGTTGTGTAGCTGATTGTTTCGTTTAATGCAAACAATAATTTCACTACCACAGTAAAATATTTTAAAACTAAATATAGAGGCAATAGTACTAATAATTATAACATTACTGTCAGTGAACACAATCATGACTCTCATGATGTGTCTCAGGTTGACAAGGAAGCCAATCAATCTGCTGCAGAAAAGGCTCAAGAAAAGATACTTCATTTAAAATATTCTCTAATACTGACACTACTGACAAAACCTTATGACAAACATATAATGCTGTTTAGGACATTCAAAAATGCTTTGCAAGAAAAGGACAAACACAGAAAACATAAATCTCCCCACATCATCTTTCATTGAGCAAAAAAAAAGAAAAAACAACGTTAATTTATTTGTTAGACATGTTTAGTCCCAGAATATGCCCTTTTAGCATTAACCCAAAAACAAAATGAGCCACCAAACTGCAGTGATTATGCTTAGTGTTCTTTTCCATATTTAGATTCATGAGGAATAAAGAATTAAAATAAAAAAACTACCATCTTTGATCATACTTGTCGAATAACATAGCAGCTGTGATCCTAAAAATAATATCACATTATAATTTTGTCACCTTTTAAAATAGACACAAGCACAACTGCAGTAAACCCGATGTGGGAAATGCTGCTGATTTTCTCAAAAGTCTTGTGAATTTTATTTGTCTTTTGGCTAGTTTCAGCAGAAAGAGAAATAGCAGCAGGCCCAGCCTAAAATGAGTCATATGTCTGGCAAATGTGAACATTATAAAGGATTATATTAGATAGGCATCTGACAGCTACTGTGTGCTGGTTGTTTTTCCTTCCTAATATGTATTGTTTCTGTTGTTACAATGACTAGTCAAACTAATTTTAATGCAAAGAGGAAAGCAGACAATGATTTCATGCTTTCTCACACCACAAAGAACCTCAGAGAACAAGTGTTTGATGAAGAAATGAGAATTCAATTGCTTGAAGAGAAAATAAATATATATATTTATAAATATATATAAAAAAAACTTCTAATGAACCATGATAAAACATACATTAATTTTTATTTTTTATTTTTTTTTTACTTTTCATTTCTACAACGATGGAACAAAATGAGTATTTGAAATGACTTACCGAGGAGACATACTGGATTTCGCGGCAGAGTTTTGTCTCCCTGGGAAAATCTGCCAGATCCAGGAAGTTGTCTACCACTACTTGACCGATGATGTCATGGCGTGAAAAGCGGTCGAAGTCGTAGACGCTGAAATGCAGCTTTCGTGTGGGAAGCTCAGAGTAGGCCACGGGGAACAGGAAGACCTCGTCAAACACGGGGTTGAGCGTCTTGCGGTGCACCTTGGTCTGGTGTTTAGTCTTCCGATCAGGCAGCAGGTAGATCTTAACGTAAGGGTCAGAGGTACCAGAGAAATCCTTGGCTGGGAGGTCCTCTGCTTTGTGGATTTTAACTATTAATTGTTCCAAGTCGCAGTCAAATTTAAGAATAAAGTGGAGGCGCCCACATCCCCCACCTCTGCGACTGCCCTCGTCCCCCTCGAGCGAGCGCTGCTTGTACAGCTCGGGTTTGAGGCGGCCAAGGCCAAGACCCATTCCAGTAAGGGAATCCTGTCTTTGGAACTGTGCCACATTGAAGTCTGGGTTAGAGAGGTTCATATGTCTGCGAATGGAGCCTTGACTGAGGACAAAGAAGGCAAACAAATAATCAAAGTCAGACTACATCAAAAAGAATCAAAGGCAGTAAGATTCAACTTTTTTTTTTTTTTTTTTTTTTTTTAAAAGGGAACTTTTATATGTTTAATTCAAAAAAAAGGAAAGGG